CCCAGCAAAAGCTTCCTCTTCAGCCAGGCCAGGCATCTTCTCTGACGGTTTGTCTTACGGCACATGGGGACAGCCCGCTCCTGCACCTTCAAGGCTTCCCTTCTGAAGGACAACCAGCTTTCCTGGATCACTCTGCCCCTCAGGATAGTCTCCCAAGGGACTCTCTCAACCAGTGTCCTAAACAGACCAAAATCTGCCCTTCAGAAGGCCATGGTAGCAGTCTTGCTGACCCCCCTCCCTTACTTCTCCTAGAATCAAGAACTCTATTATTTCATTGTCACTAAACCCAAGACAACCTCTTACTACCTCATACCCCAATGTAGCAACAAACCCAAAATTTCAACCCTCCTGAGTAAAAACAGGAAACAATTTTTCTGCCAATTGCCTGGAGTCAGTTACAAAACTCAAGACCAAGTAAGACACACCATGAACACACCCCACCCCACCCACTCTGGGATGCCAAAATGTTGTATATGGGACCAGAAAAGCAACTCAGACCTGGTGCCACAAGTGGACCTGAGCTACATGTGGCCCTGACCCGAGAGAAGCATAACAGAAGTCAGAATCTGAAACTGTCTGACATTCCCTTCCATCCTCTCCTCCTCCTGAAAAGCAAGACCTTTTCTCACACCTCCTAGTACACTTTAGAAGTAGACAGACTGAGTCAAAGACAGATATATTCTACCCAGCCTAGGCTCCTCTGCAGTATTTAGCTCAGGTTAGTGGCAACTCACTGACTGCGTGGCAGACCATTAAGAACACGCTCTACAAAGGATGACAGACACTCGTACCCCTGCCTCTCGTGGCTATTGCTCAGTTACTGGACAGCCTGTTGCAGACAAAGCAGCAATGAAGCAGCATGCCTGAACCATCAAAAGAGCAATACACCCTCCTTGTGACCGGTTGGAGGAAAGTTTCAGCGTTCCGGCACAGTGGCTGCAACCCCGCTCTCCTCTGCACCAACTAAACAACTCCAGTCATTATGATCGTGTTTTGTCCCTACAGAGGTGCCATTTCACTCTGGTTGCAGCCACAGTTCAAAACGGCTGCGATTCATTACCTGGGAACACTCTGCAGTTTCCCCTCACAATAAAGACTAGCTCTTGCTACCTTCAAAGCTTGCTAGGTCTGACAGCCGTCAAACAAAAAGCACAGCGACCTGCAAGGACATCTTGAGCATCTCTTTATTTTGTTCAAAGTGTAATAAATGAGCATTTTTGGGGTGTTTTTTGTTTGTTCATTTGTTTTTTTTTTTACTAGCTGTTCTTGTCATCTCTCCAATTGATGGCACCTTGCTGCCAGATGTGAAATGCAGTAATTAAACTGCACATGACGTTGGAATACCAAGGAATAAACTACAAACGACAGAGAGCTAGACCAAGATACCGTAGGGAGAGAGAACTAACACACAGACACAAATCCAGCCAAGTTTGAGGCATCGGCTGCTATTCTGCCTGCCTGCAAAAAGGTGCTGCAAGACTTGAGTAAAGCAGCAGCTGGAGAAGGAGAGGTGAAAAGGGGCTTCTCCCAGTCCCAGACTGACTGATTTGCCTTGGGTAGTACTTTCACAAGGGACAGTCTGTGGATGAATCTGAATGACGACTGCAGGAGAAGTGCCCCTGCATCTGGTTATTCAGATGAGAACTACCAACAAGAAGATTATTTAAAGGTCCATCTCTCAGGGCGTGTTTTCCCTTCCCTGTCCCTCACCTTATGTAAAATATACATTTGGAGAGTAGAATTTTACCAGTCATGCTTTTGTTCAGAACTCTAATACCTGACATAACCTTTGTGGGCAAAGACACCAGTGAAAACCTTGAAATAAATTAACTGCTAGGCTTTGGAGCCTTTGTCATATACATGACAGTTTTAAAGTGCACTCACATGCTCCTTTTATTATTGCTTACTTATATTACCTTGCAATACTTGTGCTTTACCAGCTCTCCTCTTCTCTAGCGAGCAATAAATGACAAAAAGGTTCTGGTCTTTCATCATCATTACCTTTTGCAACAGAAGCTTCATCCCATACTATTTTTCATGCTTTACTGACTACCTCTACTGACTTGTAAAAACCAAGGGACTCCTTTCTTGCCTGAATATGTCTATATTTCTGTGGCATCTGGGATCACAGTGCTTTTTCCTCAGCAGCATTAATCCTACACCCAGCCTGAAGGACAGGCAGCTATGACAAACACTACTGGTGGAATTTCCAACATTCCAGGTGAACAAGAGGAAAGACAGTGACAGCCTTCCCAAAGCTGCACCCTTAGCTCAGAAGACTACCTGATGGCACAGTAACAAACAAAATCATCTCTAGACAATTTATATATTTCATATGAAACCAAAAAAAGCACATGAAGCATTACAGAGCGCAAGACACGTTCTTTGTCCTGAATACCCTTGATCAGCACACACGGTACATTCAGAGTCATACCTTCAGTAAATCTGACAGGCGGGTAAGCATGTCAGTGGTGATGGAAGGAATGTTATCCACACACTGGCAATACTCAAGGATTATTCTTATTAACAGCAATACTGTCCTACAAGAGAGGAAACAACCAAATATGTCATTTTAGTGCACAGATGATGTTGAAAATTCAAACACAGGCCAGTCATGTTGATGAACAGCTACCTAATACTAGATATTAGGGTATTAAATAAACCCACTCACCGATCTAAAGGAGAAGTAAAACATAACAAAAGATACACGTAAAAATGGTTATTAAAAAAATACCCATTCCACAGAGTGGCGTTATCAAAAACGTACTTTACATGTATGAGAGAAAATCTCTAAGGTTTATTAGTATAACATCTAATCTTCAAAAAAGCTGCTGTGGCACTAGAAGTCTCTACACAAATGTCGGCAGGGCACAGAAAATCCCAAGGTCCTTTCTTATACTACTGTACAATTCTGGCCAACTTTACATAAGCATAAAAATGGACAGAATGTAGACAAGCACCACCACTGAAAAGGATGTAATAAATGCTAAGGAGTCACAAACAGAGAAGGCAGCTGTGAAGAAACAGCAACAAATATTCAGAGATGCTCAACACCTATAGTTTCCCCTGAATTCAGCAGGGACTGGAAAATTTGGGAGCTACTGGATGGAACTGAGAAGGCTCCACAAAAAGCAGGTACACTCCTTTGAATTCAAATACACAGAAGGCAGGAAAACTAAGGCAAGTTCAAACATTCAGAGTAGATACTTTAACATTTTAAAAAGTTAAATCTCTTCATTTAGGCAGTAGCGTGCAGAAAGATGAAGAACAATTAACTGAAAATAAAACACCTGTTGAATTTTTGGGGAACGACTGGGCTTTTTCTCATGAATGCATTTTATTTGATTAAATACGATGAAACTGTATGTAGAAGTTCACACCAACATGAAGCTGACAATTACTTCAAAGAGCTAAATATAACAAGTTTCAAATGAGCAGAGATGGATTATCAAACACATCATCTGTGAAGTAAATTTTATCCTTTAAAGGACGTTCAAATGCTACTACTCGGCCTGAGAGGCTCTTTTGCACTGATACCAGTTGGTGCACAAGTTCTGAGCCATCAGCTTCTGTTTCTAATTGAACAATGACACACCATCATGAAGCAACTTCTAAAATGACAGCTGGCCAGAGACATTATGTAAATCAGAAATTTTAAGTTTGGGGTAAGTTGATGTTAGGACTCTGGGGAGTGAGATATTTCAGGTGTTACTCCCTCCCCAAAAACTCTCTCATGCATATTTAATACTTAAGCCCCACAGTCTTTGGAAACAGAGACTTCATTAAATTAAAGAAGCATGAGAATATCATGTATTTTAAAATATCTTTGATATGACCAGATTTAAGAAACTACTTTCCAATCCAAAGCAATCAGGATACCAAGACATAGCGTATGCAGCTTCTGAGGTAGCCTGCATCTTATTTCTTATTCTGACTAAGATAAATAATCATTCAGTAGTAAACTCATGTATTTTGGGGTTGTTCAGCCTAGAGAAGAGAAGGCTCTGAGGAGACCTTACTGTGGCCTTTCAGTACTTAAAGGGGGCCTGTAAGAAGGATGGGGACAGACTTTTTAGTAGGCCATGTAGCAACAGGGCAAGCTATAATGGCTTTAACCTAAAGGAGGGCAGATTCAGACTAGATACAAGAAATGTTTAGTGATGAGGGTGGTGAAACACTGGCACAGGTTGCCCAGAGAGGTGGTAGATGCTACATCCCTGATTCAAGTTCAGGTGGTAGATGCTACATCCCTGGAAACATTCAAGTTCAGGCTGGACAGGGCTCTGAGCAACCTGATGTAGTTGAAGGTGTCCCTGGTCATTGCAAGGGGGTTGGACTAGATGGCCTTTAAAGGTCCTTTCCAACACAAACTACTCAATGATTTTGCCAGAGACAACCTATATTGCAAGAGATAATACAGGTTTGTCTTCATAGCACACTGGTTTTTTTTATGACTGTGTGTTTTCATGAATGTTATCTCATAAAAAAAAAAAAAACAAAACCAAAAACACAAACCCAAACATATTCAAGTGAAACCATAAATTTCAGCCTAGTCACCCAGAGGAGAAACAGCATTTTAATGTACACAAGAGCTTGCAATGTTTTGTAACTGGGAACTAAAGAAAAACTACTCTGTGGAAGGAGATTTTTTTTTATTTAAATAAGATTACTAAAGCTGTTAGTATCCATCACAGGTCTACTCAAAATTTCTTGCCAACTAACCCACTGCTAAGAGAAAAGAGCGCATCTTACCCAACTGTTGCATATTTTTGTCCTTCAACAACAAGGAATTCAGCTGGCTTTCTTTCTTCAGTAGCTAAACATTTTAGCAAGAAAGGAAAAGGGATGAGTTGAACTAAAAACAAGTACAAAAAATGCTATTTAAAAAAAATTTCATTGTTCACTTGTTAAGACTTAAAAAAACCCCAATCAATCTTTGCCACACTGCTCTCTTTTACAGTATTTATTATACAGCTGGTCACACATCATAATTATTATGACTCCAAAAGTTACTTTATTATCTACTGGGATTTTAGATCAAAAATCTCCCAAAGTCCCCCAGTCATTATGGACTTAGAAACTTCAAATACAACAGGCTACAAGTAGAAGATGAAAAGCAGAAGTCATTAGGTTTCTACTACACATTCTCAAATGATTTGCTGTGTATATTAGTATTTTAGCTTCTTCCTCAGGCTCCATAGTAGAAGCTCTTACAGATGCAGTTTTTCATACTAAATTTGATGCCACCACTTTCCTATCTTCTTGAAGAAACCTGCAAGCGTTTGTTTTAAAGAGAAATGGTCGATGAGCGTATTTGGATGTCATGTTCCATAATTGGAGTGATTATTGCCGAATATGCTTTCTTTATTTGCATACATTACTCCTGGAGGGTCAGGGTTTCTCCACCACGACATTACTGTATTGTCTTCCTTCTCATCTACTGCTGTTTTCCTTCTCCTCTATGTATGTTTTCTTCCTCTTCTAGCTGGTTACACACATTCATTGGATGAGTATCCCCACAAGGTAAACCCCTTAAGTATCCCCACGCAATATGCACTCCCATTTTGCACATGGGGAAAATGGGGCAAGAGGAGAAAAAAAGTGACTTGTCTGAGGTCAAATGAGGTTTCTGCGGCAGGGTAAATATTTGAATGTACATGAATTTTCACTTCCATGAGCAGCCACATAGCACGCTGCCTTTCATTCCAACAACTGGCAGATGAAGTAGTGGGAAGGAGCAAGCTTTGTTTAACACAAGGGGGGCTGAGCACACATGCATCCTCTTTGGTTGCTTGCAACATTCCTGTGGCATCTTCTGGGGAAAGACTAAATTTGGGGAAAGACTGTAAAAGCCTCTACACTGGGAATACTTTTATAAAACAGTAGCTCCCTCCCTGTACTGACACTTAAATGGGTTTTGAGAAAATAAATAAATAATCTTTTAAGGTCAGCACAAGAAGTTTCAACACTGGTAACAAAGAAAGAAAAAAACCACCAAAACAAACACAAAAAAACCCCAAAACAAATGCACCAACTTCCTTCTGCTCCCCCAAGAATACAAGGAGCAATCACAGATCAAGAATGACATCAGAATATGTCCATCAAAATTCAACAGCAGCATTTGCTGATAATAAATTTAGTTAACAGTAGGACTGCAAGATACACACCTGCTGTTATTTTTTCAGGGAGAGAAATTCTGCCATCTGACACCAAATCAACAAGATCCTGAAACTCGGCAGGAACTTCAGCTTGCTTCCAGCGCTCATTGTCCAAAAGTAGGCTAGTTATAAACACAAAAGAGAGGAGGCTGAGAAGATGAAATGCCTTGTCTTGACGATTCTCCTGCCTGTAATGCCGTGGAACCAAAACTATAGTACTTTTAAAGAAGCCAGTGGCTCAAAATGTTATTTATCTCCATTAGAAAGAGGTGCGCAACAGTTGGCAGTAGCAAAACTGAAAAACACTGTGTTGGCCTAGAGATGTCACACTTTTTTCATTCAATCACAGAGGACAAAATATGACACTACGCAATTAAGATCCTTATGAGATCACTGCCACTGAACTAATGTGTAAATACTGGGATTTTAAGAGCTTTTGATGGATGAGAGCAAAAAGAGTCATGTATATTACTGGTAAGGATGTTCCCCAAGCTGTTTGTTGGGTTTTTAATTGCTGCTTTTGTTGTAAATTTTATTAAAAAAAATAAAACAACTGTTGGAAGTGAATTATCCTGAAGTTACTTAAGCCCTGAGACACAGCAATCCCAACCTCCAATGTCATTCTTGAGTACTTCCTGTAGCTATTACTGTCCTTATTTAGGCAATTATAGAAGAATCCAGTTCAAAGAAATTAAGTTATGAAAACAGTAAAAGTCTAAACCCATTAAAATAATTGGGTTTTACTAAATTTTTTTCACCCCTTGCTCTTAAGTACAACTGGCTTACTAGTGTTCTAGGCAACAGAAGACTGTTTGCCTGGCATGTGATTGATGACGTTGTCCATGTAAGATCAAAGACCTTCTGCCCAGAGATACCTTAGTTTTGTCTTCCTCTCCTCATGGAATCTATTCACAAATCTATTGGCTTGACTCTGAAGTGCTCCTCGCAAGGACATGCTTTTCCTGCCGCATATCAGCTCAGTATCCAAGATGAAGCCTTCCATCAAGCGAGAAAGAGCAACAAACTCATTGGAATTCAGCTTCTCTAGGAAGCCATCCTATATGCAAAGAAAGCCATTGTAAGGAGAAATGACATCACAAAAATTCAGGGGCTCTGTTTTAAGAGGCACATTATGTAACCCTACATTGGATAGAGAAGGCAGAGGGCAGTGCAAGCAGCTACCTTGCCACAGATATGCATTCTCTGCATGGTGCTTCAAAGACAGCAAGACAGAAAACAGGAAATAAACAAAGACAAAGGAAATAAAAAAGGAGCAGAAACTGGCACTGCCTTACAAAGACATGATGTGTTGATGCTGTGTGCTCTGGGCAGTAAAATCAAGTGCCTGTGGCAGCAGGAACAGTTAATTAAATTTCAGTTGAGAACGCCATTTCAGAACTCTCACTCATTAAATCAGTAACTTGGGAGTAAATTCTTATTAGAGATGAGACACCAAGCTCCTTACCTTTGCTCTTGCCATGAGGAACTTGACTGAACGATCATGGCAGATATCAGATGCGTTATAAAGTAACTCCTGAATATTGTTTGCCAGCCTGACCAGTTCCAGGTCAGTCAGCTTCATGTCATCACTGATCCTACAAATGAGAGAACCAGTTGGTTGAGCAACAATTTATAAAAAAAACCCAGTATTTGTACTCACAGGCTGAAGGAGGAGAGAGCCTTACAGCGACTGTCAAATGCAGTCAGTTAAAAATAGCCATAGGGAACATGGACATGGTCTAGTGGGTATGGTAGTGCTGGGTTGATGGTTGGACTAGATGATCTTACACATCTTTTCCAGCCTTAGTGATTCTGTGACAGGGAAGAGATGCTTCTGACTGCTAAACGCATGACAAACTGTCTTTCGTGTGGGCTAGACGTGCGTCTCTCCTGCTCTCTACAGAAGCAGGCTCCCCACCAGAACAGATGGGGAAGAGGCCCTTTTCTGTAAGAAGTGACATAATCGGTACCTGTACCACCACATGCAGAGGTGAAAGCAAGGCAAATAAACAAAACAAAGGTGAGCTGGGGATAGCACAGCCTGGTGACAGTCTCTAGGGGCAATGGTGGAGAGCCATTCCACCTCACTTACCTAGAAAAAGCACATTCCTCCAAAGTAGTTTTTGTACTGTATCATCAGAAACAACCACTTCCACCTAACACCTTGTTTCTGACACGCTGCAAAGTTGAGACAAGCAGCACATCTACTTACATCATCTCTACTCCCCCTGGAGTAACAGAAGACGACGTTTGCTCTTTGCTGGATGAGGAATCAGTAATGCACTCTGGTTCAGAGACTGAATCACTGCTACAGGGCTCACTGTTCGGGGAAGTGTTTCTTTGAGAGGTAGTGTCAGCTGCTACAGGCGGGAGGTCCCCTTCGCCGAACGCATCGCTTATGAACATCCCTTCATGAGTCAGATAAGCCACTTCTGTGTCCACCGTACTGTCTTTAGCAGAGTTCTTTTGTAAGGTGTCCTCCAGGTCTCTGGTTTTTTGGTTCTTGTCTAGAACCAAGAACACCACACTACGGATAGTATTTAACGTTGCCTAGAATCAAATATAACTTTCATTACAAGATGACCAAAACCTTGTTCCACAAGCTTGCACTAGAGAGAGATTTGCTTTTACCCACAAAATTAAACTAAATCCTGGCTTTATTTTCTATTCTGTAATAAGCATTTGGAGGGCAGACCCATCCATCTTTGACTGTAACCAATATCAGATGTTTCTGAGAATGGTGAAAGTAACTTCATTTGGAGCAATCTGACACATACAAATGTTCTATCCTAACCCCTAGCAGCCTGAAATAGATGTAATCACACAACAAGAGGTATTATCTCCTTCCCATTGCTCTCTTTACTAACAATAATAATTTTGGCCCTGGATGCTGATATTGACATACCCTTCTTTCAAAAGTTTGAACTCTATAAGCAAAACAAACACCTTGACGCTTCAAAAGGAAAGTAATTTCATTCCACTGCATGTCTGAACTACGTGAAGCTCTTTGTAATTGAATGTCTTACCTTTATTCTCTTGAGGAAGATGGTAAACTTAGAAAAAATATTCTTCAGTAAATCAAACCACTGAGGAAAATTCATCATCCTCATCTGGTCTGCAAGCCTAAAAAGAGAGCAGCAATCAGTAAACAGCAGATGTTTACTGGCCATGATGCCTACTAGCACATAAAGAAAAAAAAAAAGCTTTAAATGGAATTCTATATATAAGGAAAACTGTGTAGACTTACCTGACAGAACAACAGACATTACCTGAACAAGTGTCATGATCAACACAATGTATGCAAGTTGAATGGGGAAGCAGGCATGAAAAACAGATCACACTAAAAAAATTAAAGCTTCATATTTACCAGGGCATACCTGGTAAATATCTACCAGTTTTTTTCCAGGGCATAATGCTCTTTTCCCTGGCATAAGTACCTCTTACCAACACAGGAGTGGGGTTAAAACATTTTCAAAAATCATGTGGAGGGAAAAAAAAAATGTTCTGCAGGTGTTACAAAAGCAGTGTTATTAAACCCATTTTGTTGCACTGCAATGAGACCACTTCTGCTATTAAAGTGCAGGTCAGCTGGTTTTGGTAAAGGGCAGAAAAGTCATTGAGAGAACAACAGCTGAACTCTGTAACACACAGTTAGGACCTGTGTATTACAGAGTTCAACTGTTGTTCTGAATAATAGTAAACAACGGAGAATGGTGACCAAATATTGCATGTTTAAAAATGAACTTGTGTCCAATCTTTTCCCAACCTGGGTATGAATCCCATGCAGATTCTACCACTCACTTTGCTTTAACAGCTGGACTGGCATTATTATCTTGGGGTAACCTTTCTGTGAGCTAAATGTATCTTAGAGCTGCAGAAGAAGAGAAGCCGGCACAGGCCTCTGGAGCTGGGACTTCTGGAGGTGCCCTGTCCAACCCCTGCCCAATGCAGGTCCAACTAGATCAGGTTACTCTGGGCCCTGCCCAGTCAAGGCTTGACTGTGTTCCAGGACAGAGATCCCACAGCCTCTCTGGGCCCCTGCTCCAGAGTTTGACCATCCTCATAGGGAACACATTTTTCCTAAGATTCAACTAGCCTTTCTCATCTTCCATCTTGTGCCCACTGCCTCTTGTCCCCCTGTACACCTCTGAGAGGAGCCTGGCTTACCTACAGCTCTGCTATAACCCTCCCACGGGGTAGCTGCGGGCAGTTCTCTCCTGGGTTTTTCCCTCCCCAGGTGGGAGGGGGACCCAGGTCCCTTGGCTGCACTTTCTACACTCACTCCATGCTGCATCCCACTACTAACCCAGTGGTCTCTGCTGGATCTCAGTATCTTTCTTGTTCCTCAACCAGGCTATGCTAACCTGGCCCAGGGTGCAGCTGCAAGGACAGACCGCTGGTCCATGGCCAACCAGTTTTCCACCAGGACCCCCATGTCCCATTCTGCAAAGTTGCTCTGAAGCCAAGCTGCTCTGAAGCCAAGCAGCTCCTGCCTCCTCTGAAGACACCAAACTTGGCATCTGCCTTTGCTGGGCTTTGTGAGGTTCCTGCTGGACCATTACTTGGGTCTGAAGTTGTCTGGTCTCCTCCTGGACGGCTCCTATTCTCATTCATGTGAGAGGTACTGAAACTACTGACATGATTCAATGCAAAATCCCAGATTACAATATGGAAGGCTTCCAATTAGTTAACAGATATATGCCTAAATAGAATAGTTTATGCTTCATGCAGTGAGATTCACAGAATTTTAGTATTTATTTTAAGGGTAAGTTTAAGGTAACATTAGAATCTGAATGAGAAGGGGAATACACAATCTTCTGACAGGGATGGACAGAAGCAGAGGCTTAAGGTAAACCAGAAGGATAATCCTTAATTATATGGAAATTTAAGCACAAATTAGAATGGTAAATTTGTCTATGCTAAAAAACAACCATCTACTATCCCCATCCACCACCAAAAAAAGGATTTGGCTGTATACTTACTTAACAACCACTTCTGTATCTATGTCTTCTATCTGCGATACCGTATTAACCACACACTGTCAAATTTAAAGAGGAAAAGAACAGAACAAAAAAAAGATCTTAGTTTCTTTCTAACTGCTGCTGAGTTTCATAACATTCACAATAATCCTCAAGTTAAATGAGGAAAAGTAAAACAATAAAGACACTTGTATCATTTAGCAACTTGTTTCTCTAAAAACAAACACACACCCCAAAATAAACACCCAAACCCAACCCCCAACCATCTATTTGCAAAATAGATGATCAGAATGTTCCCAACTGGGTACTAAGCTCTGGAAGGCACACTGGCTCTGTCTCAAAGGGGCTTGCATTTCTGAGCACTGATGCTAAGCACCATTTCAAAAACGTCTCCTTGTCAGCTACGTAAGAACAGAAGCCATATTCCTTCCCTTTCCAAAGCAACTGACTTTGGAATATGTCGGTTGACTTCCTTTTAAGCTTTAAATACAGGACTTGGGAACTACACCGGAAGGAACAGCACCGAGGAAGTGTGGAAAAACACACCTACAGTCCTGTGCTTTCAACTGTTAAGGGAGACCAACTTTCAGCTGCTGTCTGAGTAGACATGGTATTTGCTGTCTGTCCATCCTCTTCACCTTGTTCTTGAACTATGCAGTGTGTTCAGTGCTTACAAACATCTGCTCTTTCACCCCCCTGGCAATTACGAGCTACTGAAGTACTGACTGAAACAGCCCAGCAATGCATTTCAACAGGAAGCACATTTGAGACATGGGAAGGAAACAGTTTTAATAAGGAAAAATATCTCTAAGAGTTGAGACAATAGGCCACAACACAAATGCGTTGCACAAACCACAAAGAAATCCTCCAATCCTGTCTATTTTCTCTATTCAATACAAACTTACACTGGAAGTTTACTGAACTTCATTTCTCACTGAGCACAGGCGACACCTCACAAATCCAGCATAAAGACAAATATTCCCAGCAGAATGGGAAAAAGCACTTTATGACCAAGAATCAGCAGAAAAACAGGAAGCCTGTTTACCTACCTAAAGAGGGAGCCTATGATGTGACTAAACAGAGAACTTAAAGGGGGAAAAAGTCACCTTACGACTGCTGATACATGCAGGTGAAAAGCCAGTGGAGACTGACAGGCAGATGAACAGTTTTATCCTGATGTTATTCATGCATGCTTTTCTGGGGGTTTTTTTGTGTGTTAAACCTTATGCAAAGGCCCAGAGCAGCTGCACACATATGTATGCCTTTGTTTTTCCAGGCTTACGGTAATACAGCACGACTAGAAAGCAGTGTTCACTCACACCCTCTGCTGATCTTTCAGGAAGCAGGCAATGACCCAGCCCCGCCTCCCTTCAGGCAGCAGAAAAGGCAGCTAAGGGCAAGAATACTTAACCCTATTATACTGCTTTGGGGTCAAGTAAGAAAGAGCTCACACGATAGCCAAGTCCTTACAAGAAGTGGTGGTGCAGGTGTCTTCACCTGGCTCTCTCAGAAAAAGGCAAGGATCTTTTCCATCCTTCTCTTAGCTCCTGTGCCAGGTCTGTGCTAACATTCAGGCAAGGAATGTTTCCTCTAGCATTTGTTGGGAATTCGATTCTTTCAACAGGAAAGATTTTTGATTCATGTATTTACACCAAGAAATAAGGGGAGGGGTGATGGTGGTGGGTACTTTTTGGTATGGTTTTGGGGTGTTTTTTCTTTGAAACACAGTGTCATGAAACAATGATACTATTCACGGAAGCCATGTGGTAAAAGAAAAAGCTAAGCTAAAAACAGGGGATTCAGAACAATGGTGATTCTGCTGAACTTATGCTACTTATTGCTTCCAGAAGATCTTTTCTGCAATCAGACCTCTGTGCTTCAGGAAGTCCTTAGTGTCTGCAAGCTCAGCTGCTCTAAATGAGAGACCACCAATCACCAGAAAAACTTGATCAGAGCTGTTCTTAACTACTTAAAAAACAATTTGCAAGGGCTTGAGGCAATCTTGTCAGATACAGTGTTTGACTTACCTGTTTAATTATGTTCTTTGCAGTAATAATAATTTCATCTCCATACGTCTCATAAAAATTTAGCTTTCTTTGTTTTAAAAGTCCAAATACTAGTGATACAAGTCTCTCCTATCAAGGGGAAAAAGAAAAAGAAAATAAAAAACCACACTAACAATATCAAGGTGAGGACAAGAAACAATTTTAAGAAATTGCACAGCAGTAAGACAGTTGATGTATGAAACACGTGGCATATTTGGATCAGCCCAGCGCCTTGAGACTAATGTTGTGCTTTATACAAAGTTCCCTCTGGCAATGCCAGCGGAGTGCCCTCCTCCCAGCCCCTTTCATTCCTCAGTGGTGCTCATCCACTTGTGCTTAGAAACATGGATGTTTCTAAAGATCAGTGAGTTTCCTTACCGTGAGCAAGAATGACACTAAGTACAATTGCACCAGCACAAGTGAGAGGCTATCACACTGCAGCACAGAGGTGGGAAGAAACTATAAGCAGAAATGTGAATATTTAAGTGCTATTGCCATTTACTGTATTTCTTGAAACCCATGGCTGAAACTAGACTGAACAGTTAATAGGGTCTAGGAATTACTGAAGACTAGTACAGGCAAAATTCAGAAAAATGTTTTCCTGGTTAGAAAGCAACCACAATAGTTTAATCTTCGGATGTTTATGATCTTCAGAGGTATGAAGGAGATCAATACATCTATATATGCACACACACACACAGAGCAAATGAAGCATGTATTCAGGGCAACCATAAGCTTAGTATAAGCACCCAAAAATGCATAGGGAGACAAAATGAGAACAGCATGCAACTATCAGCTTTCATTACAAAACTGAAATTTTTTAGTCCAGTAGATATGAGTCCATGTTCTTTTCCACTTACATGTTGAGATTCATGAAGTGAACTTGGCATACAATTAATCAGAGAAAAGAGAACTGATTATTTTGAAAAAAATAGTTACAATTATTTGATTTTATCAAGCACAAAAAAAAAAAGGGTTAGGGGAAGGTTTGAATGAGAAAAGAAATAGTATAAAATTAAAATGTTGCTACTAGGGACCTGAGTGAATTAGTAGGTGCTAATTAAGCATGTTAAAGATGCAAACATATTCATCAGACAGTTTATTTCAGTAACAGACATACCTCTTCTAGAATTTGGCAATCATCTTCTAGGGGTCTATTTAAATCATTGTGAGCATAAGTTGAAAACTCTGCAATCATCATTTTATCTATCAGCTTTTCCAGTTCACAAAGCTGTGAGCCAAGATGCCTAAGAAAAACAGCCATTGAGATGTAAGCTAAATAATCAACCTGAAAATGAATCGTTAGTTCACAGTTGAAGAAAATAACCACCCAGCAGGTAATTTCCATGCAATGAAGTCTGAAACCTTTCTGTTCCTAGAGCATTTTTCAGAGTCACTGTCACCTTGCATCAAAACTGATGGACTCGAATATTGATGGAGGGTAAAAATTAGATGTAGGGTTATTTTTGGAAGGTGCCAAGTATCTCTCTTCCCAATAAGGCAAACCAGAACCAAGAATACTCAGCGCTTTTAAGCACACAGGTGCTAAAAAAAAAAAAACCAAACAAAAAACTTCTTTTGCTCATCCAGTTGCTCAGCTCATCGGTCCTCAAGATCTTCTACTTCAAACATTTGAGCTTTTGATGTGGTCACAGACTGAATTCACGTGACTGAGATACAGTAATAGCTTTACCTTACAGGATGGCTTTCAGAGAACACAGAAGAGTTTTTAGATTTGCTATTTTCATGCTACTCTACATTAAAAATATTTTTTTCCATATATGCTGCAGATTTTAAATCATATTTTGCAGACAGTTGTCACGCAGAACCACAATGGAATTTCTCACGTCAGAAATGTCAACCAGCCTTGAAAAGCTGTGCAGCTAGAGAAACTTTTAGCAGAGTAAAATTAAAAAGGAGGATTTCAGAGATGCCAAACATTCCAGGCTTTCCAACTTACACTGACAGCTGAGTGCCACAAGCATCTGAAAAATCAGACTGCTTTTTCATTAAAAAAAAAAAAAAAGATGACAGGACACTTTACCAATGAGAATTCACAAGAGCTATGATATTTTAGATAAACCTGGATACAAAATGGGGCAGATGAACCTGCATGGCTCTCTAGCTTTAATTCAGTGTTGCTGTAGCTGGACCATTAGCTTGCATAGAGTGGTAAAAACATCTTAGCACTCCCTAGTAAGAGCACTGCTGTAGCAATGCGAAGATCACAGGATCCAGCTTCACAGTCCATGTAGGGCAAAGTCTGCCATCCAGGGTGTGAGGGAGCACGATGCCAAGGTAGCTCCTCTGTGCAGAAGCCCACATGGTCAGCACTGAGCTGAACTGAATGAATCTTGCTGGATCCGAGTTAAGCGGATTCTTTTTTTTTTTTTTTTAGTTTTAAGATGACCAGAGACACGTTGCCCAGAGAAGCTGTGGATGCCCCATCCCTGGAAGTGTTCAAGGCCAGGCTGGATGAGGCTTGGAGCAACCTGGTCTAGTGCAAGGTGTCCCTGCCCATGGCAGGGGGGTTGGAACTGGATGAGCTTTAAGGTCCCTTCCAACCCAAACCATTCTGTGATTCTATGTCTGCTTTTGAAATTGTTGGTCAAGAACTGGCTTGAATGGACAAAGTGGACACATTTCGAATATTTAATTTAAGCAAAAATGACCTGTAGAAAATCTGAGCCAGCTGCATCATGGACATTTCAGAACAAACCCAACAGAAAAAACAAAAAAGATTATTAATTGCAATGTAATGACGAGATGCAAAACTTACTGCAGAACAAATATCCACAACACAAAAGCTCTTACTGAAGTAAACACAAAGATGCTATTTGGTAAATTGTTTCTGTAACTGTGCTTAACTACAATAAAATGTAACCTACCCTCTCAAACCTCAGGTATGGAAATGTCCAAGAAGAACACCCGGCACCTGCTGCCACCACTTTGCCTAAGATGTTCTAGCCCTTAACAAGAAAAAAAAAAATCACTCCGCCCTAAAGCACGCAGGATTAGGTCAAACCTTAATCCATACTCCAGCAAAACACCTTGGCAGTGCTATCTTAAGAGGTACCAGTCACACAACAGGTCCTTTCAGTGACTGAATACGGCAATTGTCTTAAGTAAAATTATGAATGCTGGGTAAAAATTCTTTTAAAACACACAGATGAAAACTATTTTACCAGGCATCTGTGGCTTGCCAGCATACCTGTGCAAGAGAAAACCAAAATTAAAAAAAAAAAAAAAATTCAGCAAATCTCCATCACCCCAACAAGGATTGTGAAAACAATGTAAAAAACTGGCAGCACAGATTTGTAGTTCAGTCAACACAGTTGTTTGGTGGGGTTTTTTTTGGCTTTGTTTTGTTTTTTAATTTAAAAAGTGAACTTGAAAGGTTAAAGAAGCCTAAAACTTTAATCTAGATTAATATCCCTGGTGATTATATGTATCAGTCATAACTGTATGATTATTACTTGCTACTGCTATAAGCTAGAATTAAAGACACTAATTACTTCACAGCACCATTAAGGTGATTTCATTTTTTTTGCCATAACTAGGATTAAATTACTTTTTTTTTGCTATAGCATGACAAGAGAAGAATAATTTTTGTATATGGCTGATCTGAATAGTTTTCTTACTGCTTTACACTGAATCATTCTGCAACATGACTTGATTTAAAGCTGTCTGTTCAAGAGCAAATTCTGCAAGCTGCTGTGCACAACACTAAAGCAACAAGTTGTTTTGCTTTTTTAAAAATAAGCTGCAAATTATTTAGTGGAAAAAGAGAGATAGTAATTATTTAGAACAATGAGATACTGATTTAGAAGCTAATCTCTTCTTAAAATAAATCAGGTATTTTACTGACTTGACAAAGCAAGAACATCCATTTGCTATTTCTTGGAAAACGCTGAAGTATTTGTGTATGACATCAATTTAGATTTTATCTATTTTTAAAAACACAACATTCTACTAAGAAGTTTTATCAAGTTCTCCATCTTTCTATTGCACATTATGTGTCCAGACACGCTATACACACGGGTCACTGTGAGACTTGGGAATAACTGTGCTGGGCTTCTCAACTGCACCAGCATCTCTGGTGGGGGTTGCACTTAACTCATCTTCCTGAACCTTAAATATCAAAAGCAGAGGGGGCATTTCCCACTCCCGCCATGGTTTCAAATTCAACCAACGCGTTATTCACAGAAACCATTTTTTTACAGACAAGATGAATACCTGCAAACACCTTCCACCTCTGAGTGTCATCTTAAAATAATGGCACGTTACTGGGACATCACGTATATTGATCACGGCGATAAGAGAATTGCATTCTGCTGACGCAGCACGGAGGCTCCTTGATTGCAAAACCCAACTAATTCTGACTGATGTTGTCATAGGGTTGTAGCAGAAGTACACCCACTATCATCAAGGTAAATACAATGGTGACACAGTCAATGGCTGCGCACCATAATCAAGGTGTTGAGAGTAGGAACAGGAAGGAGGAAAGAAATTGCACTGAGGTGTCTGAAGATCTAGGCTAGAAGAAAAAGACTAACAGCTTTTAACTATCCTCCCAATAGTTTATTAGCTCTTTTAAAAAAATATTTTTTTAATGCCATTTGAAAAAAAAATATTTTTCTGAGATCTTTTCTACATAAAATTTGATCCAAACCAGCTAGAAGGGGCATTAGAAGAGGAGCTCATCTGAACAGACAGACAAGAGTAGTAACCGTATAAAGCTCTAAACATTCATGTTACAGTTCTTGAGCAACAATCACATTTTTATTATGCAAGCTGAGAAGCACTAGGTTGCAGGAACCGCGTAACCTCTCAACAAACCAAAAAACCCCAACATCAACTTAGAAAGCTGAGCGTACAGATACCCAGCTGGCCGATGCAAGTCTCGGAGCTCATTTACCATACACTACTTCTGCCAGCATTGAACCACAGTGACAACTTTGCTTGTGACACCTTTATCCAGCATATGAGTCATGATAGCTTATTTTACATCAGCTAAAAGGATTCTAACACAGTAACACTCTTGCACATCAGAGAGGACCTTCCCCAGTACAGCAGCATCTCCCATTTGGAGCTCTAAATATCTACTGTTAACAGAAGCAGCCAGCACAGGGCCTTGGACTCACTAATTCCCACCACTGTAGCAAGCACAGGTGAAAAAAGAGCGGCAACTAGAGACTGGGCAGCACCTCCCCACTGTTTCTTCCCTTCCCAACTTCAGCAGCTCACAGAACTGGATTTCTCAGTCAGATGGCGCAAGAGGAAGCACCCGCTGGCCACTGTAAATACCACCCTCCACAAGAGTAGGCACGGCTGAACACGTCCCACCTGACCAGCTGTCAGCCTCATGCCACGCTTTGAGCCATGATTCAGTAGTTTTGCACTGGGTTTTACTTGCAAAGCCCTTTCCAGCACAAGTGCAGGCTGGAGGCTGACCTAGGCAACATACGGTCCATGCACACCCCTCTAACACCACATGCCTAGGTCAGTCACTGAAGACAGCGGCCCAGAGTGGAGCTGTGTAGCAAGAACTGTATTTCTGAGTCGCTGCATGCATGAGGGCTGCAGACCACCACTTGGAAACCACCTCTCAGCTGTGGGTTACAAACCCTGCAAGATGAAGGCTCAGCCACTGCTTGGCTCTCACCTCTGCACCCCTAAACCACCTGTAGTCAAAAATGAAGTGCAAAGCATCTAGATGTTAGTTCATCCCCTCCTAAACAAAAACCATAATCATTTCGGGCATGTGCATTAGCCACACTGATTATGCCACCCTTACATTTTGTACTACATCCTACAAGACTGAGGAAACAAAGGTAAAACAAACCTCTTCAGCCAACATAACTGTGCTCAACACATTCTAGCTCTTCCTGCATTTTATTCATCTCCAGTACGATTACCTACCGGAAACTGTGAATGCCTTGAAGCTCTTGCTGTAACACCTCCTGCGTTGTTGCTATTAAGTCCAAAGCTCCAACAAACTCGGAAGTCGATAGCAGCAACTGTACTGTGGGCTGTGTTTGGTGTACAGTAGCCATTAACTTCAGTTTATTGTATGCTTTTATACAGTTATTTCTGGTGAGTGACAGTCTTAAAACTCGAAGTGATCCTTCACACATTACTTTATCAATTTTGGAGATTTTCTCTCTAAGTAATTTTACAGCCTGGGAGGTTCTCCTGAGGTAGTCCTGCAACTCATGCTGAGAGGTCATTGCATGAAAAAACGCTTCTGAGCGCAGAGAAATCTGATGAGCAATATTGACTTCCACAATGTCCAGATAATAGCTCAGCTAGAAAGGAGGGAGGAAGAACAACAAACAGTGTTGTTATGACTTGGCAAGTTTATCACCATTCAAATACACTTTCAGGGTATTTATCTTATCGTACCACGAGGAAATTTTGCTGATAAAAATTAAACCACTTTGTCAGATTAGCAAGCAAATAACTACCCACTGTGGTTTGATCATTTGCTTTTAAAAGAGCTCAAAATCACTTCAGGAAGGCTGACGATGTCTCTTCTGCTTGAAAATTACAAGGTAGAAAGGTAAGTAATTTTGAAATACCCCAGCTTTTGTACCACACAGTTGCACACTGGCACTGTTAGAATAGAGCCATTAACCAGGAGACAGCCCTAGATACTGGCTTGAACAGTATACACATGCAGATACGCTACATACTTTGGGTCACTGAAGCTGCTGAAGATGCAGCCCAACTATACTCAATGGCGTGGCTTAGGAATGGGTCCGTTCATTTAAAAGGCTGTACCACCTTCACTGTAGAAAAATATGCAGGCTCTCTCTGGCTGCAGTTATTTTTTGCTAACCAGCTGGAGTTCCTACTAAGTGCATTTCACGTGCACTGGCACTACGGGATTCCAAGAGACAGAGTACGCCTACACGTTCAGAACCTGAAATTCAAATTCTCAGTGTCGGAACACTTACTAGGCCATTGGGTTGGCCTGGTTATCTGAGCTGTAAAAGCTCTAAGTTCTGGCTGAATATGCAGACTCAAAGGACTGAGGCATTAGGATGCTCATCTGAATGCTAATACTCAGATGACCTGGTTTCTAGGAGATTGCCAGCACTCAAACCTCGTGCTGAATTTCAAAAGGCCCATCCAGAGATGGAATAAAAATCTGCTGGAGAATGTTTCCTTCTTACAGTCAGTCGTTTTCATCCTGCAGGCATTTAACACTGGGAATGTATACAATATGTGAACCCATCTTTGTTGTAACATGTTTAATCAAAAACATCCTCCACCAAGCAGCTGTGACACACCTAGCCCACGGGAAAAGCTGAGACAAACTGTGACACAGGTGTCAGAGAAAAGGTTATGATGATCATTTATTTATTCGATTGGACCAATCAGATGCTCCAGGTACCTCCACTAGGCTAAGCAAGGTAGAACAAACCCAACCAAATTACAGCATCTGCCTCGAAGAGCTTACAGTCCCGATGTAGGGCGAGACAAGAAAGAGAAAAAAGCCTGGGTGGCAAATTGTTCAAGCTGATCAGCAGCAGTCCAAAAGCACTGATAGCCTAAGCATGTGGGCTTCCTGCTGAAAAACAGTGCCTGGAGCTAAGGATAATTATGGCATCAGGGTGCGTATTTCCAAATGATAAGCAAAAACTTCATGCACTTCAGAGCCTTTAAAAAGTAAAGCAAAAAAACTGGGCCCATTTCAGCAATGTGAAGCAGTGTAATGATTTGTTTGTCAGGCATGTGGCTTTGGAGGCAAAATAACTGGTTTGTACCTTGTGTAGGTATTTGTATCACATCTCCAAAGAAGCACGGCTCACAGCTATTCAAAACCTTATTTTTACACCACTGCATCAGAGAAGGCTCTGGGTCTCCTCTGCTCACAGTTCCTATTGAATATCCACCCTGCTACTGCCAGGCACACTTTGTGAGTTTAAAGTATATGCAGACAGTGCTTTTTCATCTTTAGACTGCAACTGCCACAAGAAACTCCAGAGAAGTATTCCTCCAACTTTAGGTGTGGAGGACAACCCGATGAAGGATCAAGTTAGCCTCTAGCAGAGCCTCTCTCGTACTCCTGATCTGGAAATTTGGAGACACCTTCCAGAGGATCTCAGACTATTTTTTCTTAAGGCACCTCTCCACTTTTTTTTTTTTTCCCCTCCCCACCACCAGCTCTCGGAAGTTTTAGTTGGTTAAACAGAAGGGAAAATTAAAGTCAGAAAACAGACTCCAAAATTATGTAGGTTTTTCTATAATAATTTCTTGCTATCTGTAGCATAAAAATGATTCATTATTTTTTTTTCCAGATTTGATAGGCAGATTTATTTAGCAGGGGGAAAAAAGTTCTCTGGCAGTAAGACGCTTCCTCAATTCTTTACTAACAATCTGCAGCCCAGAACAGTAATGTCTCAACAAACAATACAGAACAGCAGCAATGGAGTTTTTGAGTAAGTAACAGCTGCAATGGAGAATGACATCTTCTATCAGAATTGTACCTTTTCTTGAAGTAACTTGGAGGAAGCTGCGTCACGATTTCCTTTTCCACCAGCAGTACTAAAATGAGACCATGGTAAAACGGCATTAAATGTTAAGGAATCTTCCAAGGCAAAATCTGGTTTCATAAAAATCTGAAACAACAAAAAAGAAAAACAAACAAAAAACAAAAGAAATAAATGCACCTCCCTCACCCCTACTTTTTCCCCTCCCCAGTTGAACATATCTCTTGTCTCATGAAGCTAAGAGGGACCCTATTTGTTGATTTTCAAAACGAGTTTTCATTTATCCAGGTAAAAAAAATTCATTCCAGACCTGACAAACAATTTACTTTACACCTTAAAAAGTTTGTGAGATCTCACAAGGTCTTATCTTCCTAGTGGAAGGCACAGCTCCAAAATTACCTCTGTCATCAAGTTCTCAAGATGATCTAAACATCGTGAGTGTGAAAACATAGGCAGCATTAAACTGCAGGTGGGTCCTCTAAAGGATCAGAGCAAGTACTCTTCAAAAGCAGGGGCATCCTACTGCTAAGCTGCTCATTTCTGGGTCCACAGCTTCTAACAGACTGAGGAACCAGCCAGCTGTCAGGGTCCTGCAAGTGTTGCCAGAGAGAGAACAGAACCTCAAGCTGATCTCCTTTAGCACAACGCAGCAGACACACTGGTCACAGAAAAAGTCAGTAACACGGAACATTCACTACACATCTCAGAGAAGTATTAATCTAAAATTCTCTCTGATGTTTTTACTTGACAAAACTGGTACAAACCTTGAGCTTCCAGGCAGACAGCAGTACCCTTCAGTATTTATGAAGTGTAATTTTAAAAGGTTCGTCATAGACTATAGCACCACACCACACTCACACATTCTTGTTTCTTGGACTTTAAATATTGCAGTGACAGCTACTCAAATAACAGCCTACACGGCCAGCACAGAGATGCTGACCCATATTAACACTGACTTCTTAATGCACCTAGGAAAAATTATTCAGACTGAAACAGACTCTGGACTTGTGTCTTTTGCAACTTGTCACAAAAACCCTACCTCATGTGCACTGCAAGCATATATGCAAGAGGGCTTTGCTCAAGGATTCAAGGAGCTAAATCTAATGTTATGTTGTATGCTATGCGATATTCAAACTGCTATCAAACTCCTCAGTTTCCTTTTTCTCCTAGAACACAAAGTGGCTAATTTTGCTCAGTTCCAAATTTTTAACAATTAAAGATGGAAGAATTAATTACATTTGTAATGTGAGAGAAAAATCAAGACCACAGGAAACAACTACAAAAGAAAAAAAAGCAGATTGTTCTTAGTTGTTGTAAATTCTGAACATGGCAGATCCTCTTGAGAATCAGCTCAAGTAACCAGCTCAGACAAAATTTCTACAAAGAACGGAGTGCATTTGTATATTCAAGACTACGCGTGAGAAATCCTTATAAAAGCTTAGGGTGCACAGGAACCATACCTTAGGTACTTGTTCCAGATCTGTCCTGGATTTATCTAAAATTAAACAAAACACAAGCAGTCATTCATAAGCAAACAATTACCTTGAACACTATGAAGCCCTACGAGGAAGCTTTCAAGACAATGGTGCCAGGTTCCTCACAGGGGTGGACAAGGAACAGTCGTTATAAATTAAAATCAAAAGTTCTGACTGAACACAAGGAGAACTTTTTCACCATGAGGACAATCAAAGCAGGCTGCCCAAAGAGGCTGAATACTCTCCTTACTTGGAGGTTTTCAAGGCCCATCTGGATAAAGCCACAAACAGCTTGGTCTGACCTTAAAGCTGAACTGGCTTTGAGATGGCAGTTGCAGTAAAGACCTTCTGAAGTCCATTCCAACCTGAAATACTCCAATCCTTTGAAACACACTGCTATCCTTTGTAGTTTAGATCTCATGCTCAGAGTATTCAAGGGTGCTCGCACTCAGCTGCTTTGACAGCAAAAATGTTAGCCGTACAAAGCAATCTACTTGGCGCTTCACATTCCTTAATGCACTGTTCAATCACCTAGCAAGAGCCAGTAAAAGGTCCCTCTAACATCAGTCCAGTTTTCATGCTCCAAATTGAAGCTGCCCATATAACCACTCTGCACAGCACTTGGAGGACGGATGCACAAAGGCTGGCAAGAAGAATGAATGAGGACTCAGAGTCCCAAGCCCACTGAGCAAGTAGCACAGAACTAGCCCTTCCTTTGAAGTAAGCTGACCTGACAACTGCAGAGGGTAGGATGGTGGAGCTGGGAAAAGAGATGCATCACTGCAGCACAGCACAGCGTGAAGAAAAGGCAAATTCAGACTTTTGAGGTTCAGCCAAAACCCCGCTACTCTTGGACTTAGTGTGCATCACGAAGAGGGGCACACTGGAGGCCAAAAAAGGTGAAGAATTTAAAAACAAGCCCATACCTCAGCTAGATGGTCTCTCATCCCTGACGGAGCCCTCAACATCAGAAGGATACAGACTGGTTGGAGCGAGTCCAGAGGAGGCCACAGAGATGCTCCGAGGGCTGGAGCCCCTCTGCCATGGGGACAGGCTGAGAGAGTTGGGCTTGTTCAGCCTGGAGAAGAGAAGGCTCCGGGGAGACCTTATAGCACCTTCCAGTGCCTGAAAGGGCTACAAGGAAGCTGGGGGGGGACTTTTTACAAGGGCCTGTAGTGACAGGACAAGGGGTAACGGGGTTAAATTGAAAGTGGGGAGGTTTAGATTGGATATCAGGAAGAAGTTCTTCCTGGAGACGGTGGGGAGGCACCGGAACAGGTTGCCCAGAGAAGCTGTGGATGCCCCATCCCTGGAAGTGTTGAAGGCCAGGCTGGATGAGGCTTGGAGCAACCTGGTCTAGTGGAAGGTGTCCCTGCCCATGGCAGGGGGGTTGGAACTGGGTGGTCTTCAAGGTCCCTTCCAACCCAAACCACTCTGTGATTCTATGAATGAACTTTTATTTTGCAGTACGTGCCACAAACAGACTCATTCAGGAAAACAGCCTTTCCAAAATAACAACTAGTACAGAGAAACCCTCAGAAGGGCTTCCTTCTGAATGCAAAAGGAGGAAAAAAGCTGAAAGAATTTGATCAAAGGAGTAAACTACTGAATGCTTCTGCTGCAGTACCTGTAGATGTTGATAAAGACAAGCCTGATGAAACAGTGATAAGCAAATTCACCGTTTTATGCTAGCATTTTTTAGAAATAACACTTTCAAGTTTGCTCCAGGTTGTAAGTGTTTCTTTTCCTTTTGCCTGTCTTTTCCACTTCGCCTCTCACCTTCTTTTGTCCAGTTTCATATTAGCTGATCTACTTCCATTAGATCTTGAAATTCAGCCTTGTTACAGCTGCGGACACCAGAAGTAGTTTGCCAGGTAGTCTTTGCTAACAGTAATCAGAGAAACACTAACCAGAGAACTGGCCAGCGTGGAACTTCATGAATTTCAACACAGGAAAGGCAATGTCCTGCATCTGGAGAAGAATAACCTCAAGCACCAGTACACACTAAGGGTCTAGCAGCTGGAAAGCATCCCTGCAGAGCAGGACCTGGGGTACTGCCAGACAACAAAGTGACAACGAGCCAGCAGTACCCTCTTGCAGTGAAGCACCCTAGGTTGCAATAGGCAGAGAACTGCCAGCAGGCTGAGGGAAGGCGATCCTCCCTCTCCACTCAGCACTGGTGAGACACCTGGAACAGCGTGCAGAGCTCTGAGCTCCCCAGTACAAGACAGACCCAGACATGCTGAAGCAAGTCCAGTGAAGGCCCACAAAGATGATTAAGACACCAGAGCATTTTTTAAAGGAGAAGCTGAGACAGCTGAGACTGTTTAGCCTGGAAAAGCTTGGAGGAACATTATTAATGTCTTAAAGTATCTGATGAGAATGTGTAAAGATGACAGAGCAGGCTCTTCTCAGTGGTGCTCAGTGACAGGATAGGTGGCAAACAGCAAAAGCTGATACAAGAAAAATTCCATCTGAACGTAAGGAAACATTTTTACTGTGAGGGTGATTAACACAAACATGTTGCCAGAGGGGTTGTGTAATTTCCATCTGTGGATAAATTCAAAACCCATCCAAACACTGTCCTCTTGCAGGTGACCCTGCCTGAGCAGGAGGGTTGGACTACACCATCTTGAGATGTCACTTCCCACCTTAACCATTCCATGACCATCATGGCAGAGAAACAGGAATGGTCCAGCGTCACCATTCTCCATTGTAAAGTCAACAGTTGCTAGAAATTTGATGCAACAGTTTCAATGGATCTTAAGTAAAATAAAGTTAAAGAAAACAATGCCAGGGACATAATGACCTACTGTGAATGCAAACATGCCAAGGAGAAGCTTAAGAGCAAGTATCACAAAAGCATTTTGACCTATAAAATATCAGCAGTGGTTATGACTACTTCTAGTCAACCATGTCTGGGTTTTCAACTATTGTTCACCAGCAGCTATTTTTGCACATGAAGCGGTTGACCAAGTAAAGAACATGATCAGTATGTTAAAAAGTAATTTCTTTAATGACTACTATAATGACTAAAGGAAGGCTTTGACTGTACCGTGGGTGTGTAATAGAGCCCTGTCGAAGGTATCTTTAGGAGCACAAATATTCTTGCATCTTTCATGAACTTTCTCTCTCTGTAAAAGAGAATGTATTGAAGAATTACTCTGAGGCTTTAAAAAAATTTTTCTTCTTTGAAACAGAATATTCAGAACATTTTCAGTGCAACATACTGCATTACGCTAAGTAATTCTGACAAGTTCACATTAATATTTTTCTCCTCTTAAAAGCTCAGATGGTATTTGTCCAGGTGAAGGGTAACAGGTTGAAATTTTAGTCAGCATCCTTACATCTCAAGAAAAAATGCACACAACAATTACTGAAGAGGTGTAATAACCTCTCTACATAAGATACACACATAAAGCAATATAACTACATACCCAAACATTTTTTTGCTGTCTGATCCTGAAATCACACTAACACACAACAAATGCTTTTTCACTGCTAAAATAAACTGAAACAAAAGTAGAAATTGCTTTCACATCTTAACTAATAAGAACCTTGCTGAAACCATGCATCTTGTTTCATTATGCTGAGCTTCAAATTTTATCCACAGGTGTAAATGTCACCAGAAACCACAGTGGTGAGAAGTTGTTTCTAAAGAACACCGACGTTAGCTAGATCTCTGCTAGAAGCTGTATCATAGGTCAGTTCCCTCTTCCTAAACCTCTTTTTCATGTTGCAGTCACTGCACTTCATGCTAACGGATGAGCGTGTGAACATTTTAAATGTTGAGTGTGTGAACTAATGGCAATAGTTCAGTTACAGACAATTCCACATATTTGAACTGTGATTTAAAGTAGCACTCCCTGCAGATAATTCTGTAACAAGCAAAAAACCAAGAAAGTTACAAACCAAGGAAGCAGAAAACAGTGGGAGACTTCTACATGTTCTTTCAGTTACAAAAAAAGAATACTACATACTTACTAACATCTGTATTTTAAGAGTTTGTAGAAGTCTCCTACTGGTCCTGGTGTCCTTAGCTGTAGCTTAAGCTTTCCTGTTACAAAAGAAATCATCACGATAATAGGTCTATTGATAGTTTAAGAACTTCACATATAAATGTTTACATTAGAGATGCTCAAAAAACTCTCTCCAAGCCTTGCAGCACATAGTCACATTTCATATTTAATACAAAGGTCTGAAAAGGCTATGTTGCACTGTAGAGCCCAATCATTAATCAATCCTTGCAGAAAAAAGATTAATAATCAGAATAAATAGGAACTGTACACCCTGGCAACAAGCACAGTACCCAGAAATATAAATGAAAAAAATTATGTAATTGCCTAGAGAGGATTTAGGCAGCATTTTCCATACTACGAATACTTACATCATAAAACAAGAAATTCCAAGTGAAGGGTCAACACACAAATTATCAGCTACATGCATGATGACTAGTAACAGGGACAACTGCTAATTAGAAGGATCTCAAATCTCCTTCTGGCCCCTAGTACCACACGTATCTAATTCTGGGTTCTTACCGGACTGATTTCCTGTTGGTATAATGCAAAATGTTCCTTGGTGATCTGTGGGAGGTAGAATGAAGGTGTGACTTCAGTGTCCACAAAGTCCACTCCCCATGTTTTTGTAAAGAAATCAGATTCCCTTTTTGCTAACCTAGGATCATTTAGCGCTGCTGGGAGATTGACTTTGGAATGATAAATAGTCCATCTGTGCTGATCCACAACTAGAGATGGGCTGTCACATAAATTACTGGGATCGCCTGCAGCACAAAAGAGGAGACAGTTTGTTAAGGTGAGGAACTGAAAGCTCTATTTTTGCTAAAATGTGGTTCTTAAGCAAACCATGTTTCCAGCACTACACAGTGGATCAGAATTATCTATGCAAAAGAGGCAGGATATTCTCCTTCTACAACACTTTAACATGCATTTCTTCTATTAGCATAACCAACACACATTTTGACCACAGCGACGAATTCACACTCAAATACATTTAGCTCACCAACATTAGCTTCTTCTGAAAACACATAAATTCCAGACACACACATTTTTAATAAACTGAACTCGATCAGGATGACAGTTGAAATTCACTAGCATTAAATTTTATAATTCTTAAGATCCTACTGCACCTACTCCTTTTTATAAACTAAGCTTTAGTATACCACAGCAGCTGTAATGGTCACCAAAACCTGATTTTATGATAGCACCAGAGACTTATGACAATGCTAGAGACAGTTCTTGAACTCTTGCTTCCTACTGCACAGAGGCTGAGTTGTTTCACAGAAGTGGTGCAGCTGGACTCCAAGCATGCTGAACAGGTCTGTTACTGGCTCTGACAGAATATACCCTCTTCTTGTACGTAGAATGCATCACAGCTATTACGTGGAATCACACAAGCAAGATCCAATCTATAATGGGGGCATGTAAAAACAAGCTGCAAAACAGGAAGGCTTTCCCATTGCTCCAACGGGACAGTGGGTGGTATAAAGCAGAACTGTAAGACTACTGCTGAGCACTACACCCAGCGCACGAGAAAATTTGACAGAATGATTGTATATGGATTAGCAAGTTGAACTGCGTTTCCGCTCTCCTTGCACACCAACATTACCTGTAGGTTCCTTGGGACACACGTCAGGCAGTGACTGCACGGGCCGAAAGCGTTTTGTGGCATCCACTTCCTTTTTAAAGAACGCATCACTGCTGTTGGACTGAGGCACTGGTGAAGAACTGTGGCTTGATGCCATTGCATAAAATCACCACTTGATAAAAGCTAAATAAGAAATAGTAAATATCAAGGTTTTAATAAAGTTCTGGTTAGAGATTGAGTCAAAACAATGACACTCCATCAGCTACACAGCATTTTATTAACTGCAACACTGACACAGTTCAAAAGCAACAGGGGAGCGTTCATTTTAAACACAAAAATAAAAGGCAGAATGTAACTTCATAGCCTGCCTCCTCCACACCTCTAGTTTTGAGGGACAGCTGATTCTTGTACACAGCACCAATAAAATTGTACATTAAAAAAAAGCGCTTTTCATGCACTTCTCCCTTTCCACTGCTGCCACAGCGCACACATTCACTGCAGAACTTCCTCGAGGGTATCAGGAAGCTTGGGTAGACAAATGTAGAGCCTTCCAATGCCTCTGCCCTCCTCCCTACCATCCTCATGACCACAGGGAGCAGGTCACCTTTTGCATCTGGTCCCCACAGTGCTTCTACTATCCCGGGGGCTGCACTCCACAACCACGATGACAGCCCAGGCAGGGCAAGGAGTGAGAGACTAATGCAAAGAACTGCTTCGTAGACCAGCAACTAGTGGCAATAAGACAACCCTCAGGGAAACCGTCCCATCTGCATGATGGGCTCAGGCCAGGACTGAAAGCCTGAAAACTGGTGTGTAACCACAGGAAGCTCATAAAAGCTGCCTGTGCCCACCTCCAAGAGACTTACTGCCACTCTACTCAAGAGATGGGCAGAGCATCCTGAAAGATGCCTGCAAAGGCACGCCACGCTCAGTGAGGTTTAACCACAGTGCCTTACATGCTGCAGTAAAAAAGGTAACGGGTGCAGGGGGAATATTCTGTGCCCTCACTTCGTTTCACTGTCTTCATGTTAGGACCCCGGCAACTGGAAGTACACTGGGTTTTCTCCCAAAGGAGAAGGTCTGTAACCTACTTTGACAAGTCCAGCAACAGCTACCCACAGATACAATATATCATTAATGATTTATAGTAACTGAATACATCCGATTTCAGACAAACCAGAACCTCAAGAATACAGGCATACCAGAAAAGCAGGAGCATATACTATACATAGAACACAGACATCCTTTATGACTTGAATTGGGAAAATTGACAATTCAGCTTTTCATGGCTGCCTAGTAAAGTAAGATATAGTTTATTTCAGCATAAAAAGTATTTGCAGAGAGGAGACAATTAAAACATAGATCAAAGCTCTCTGGAATAAGGAAAGTTGCACTAATTTCTGGTTGAATTTTAAGCTCCCAGTTTGAAAATAGAAGAGCCACAAGAATTTTACACCAGGGATGAACAACATAATGAGTTCTTTCCATCTGTAAATAAAGCTGCATTTCCATGAAAGTATCGGTTGAGTCAGTAAACTGCAGAAATATTAGCAGTCTGAGAGTTATGAAACATCCCCATAATGTACAGCTCAAAGAGTGCCCGTTCAAAGGGACTGATCTGACTGCTCGTCTTTAAGAAGAAATAAAAACATCTAGCAAGATCTCAGCATTTAACTACCAACCCTTAAGGGACACCTAAATTACTCACTACCCTGTAAAGGAGCACAAAAAGATAAAAGGCTTATTTTATCTTCAATCGCTTAAGCAGGCGCCAAGGGATGACTGTACGTCACCGTGTCAACTTTTAAGAGCATCACACACATTACAGCAAATCTCATTTGGAAAAGGAAACAAAAAAGTTCTACTCTCTCACTGAGGTTGGAAGTGTCCTACAACACAGTTCTAAAGAGGAGTTAAGATACGTACAGCTACAGCACAGCATCCCAGTGAACGAGCCCATAATGACTAACACACACTTACTGTGGTCAAAACTCTGTCCATCAATACCATCCCTGATGTCCACTCGCCTCTGTCCCTTTCTATCCAACACAACAAGACAAGGAGCTTACGTGCTTCCACTGTCATTTTTACAACTGACTTTTAAAAGGGGTGAAAATAGACCACCGGAACCCTTTCTTAACCGCAGCAGGACTGAAAATTCGTCTCCCAGTTTTTCTTGGGAGGGGATTCCTTTCTTTCTTACACTAGTTGAGACAGAGAATGGGGTCACTAATACAAAACTGGAGTTAGTCAGAAAGGGGAAAAAACCTTCCCACACCTCTGACAGGCCCTCCTTAAGTATCATAAAGCATCAGTCTCTCTCCCCAGAAGAACTTTTTCACTACTACTTCTGTTACATGTTCATATGCTTATGTTTCTCCCTTGACTTCTGCAAGGCAACTTCTTTCTTTAGTAAGCTCTTTGCTAATGTTTTGAGGTGTTTTCAGGAAAAATCTAGTTTATGATAATGACAGAACTCTATCATTTTAACATTCTTAAAAAACATATCCAGTGCTAAGTTATAATGACAAAGTCTCCTAAAGGCGTCCAGTAAATTTATCCCCACTTGAAACTGCTTCAAAGTTCTGTATTTGCAGTTTTTCCCCTGAAAAAGCCTCTGTAATATGAAACACATTCTGCACTTGCCAGATGTAGGAGCAACTACGACAATTTGTAGAAAGCACTGAAATCTTGTACCCTTGCTAGCAAGCCTTTCATTAAGCCTCTTTCCTTCCCCCATAATGAGGTATTGCCTAAAAGTATATTCCAAGATGTGAATTGTCTCACCTACATAAATCTCAGTAGAGAAAATGCTAACTACATCACGCCAGTGTAAGATTAAAAATACATTTGAAAAACAATTTAACACTGAAGACTGGTTCAATACCACAGCTTTTCAAAACCAAGCTATACCTACTCTTGCACAGGTATTTTTATTACTTATCACCATAAAATATTCACATTACCTTTGTACACTGAAAAAAAAGACCTTAGAACTCAATCAAAAGAGTACAATAAACTATCTAGGCAAGCAGTAAGCTTCATACTATTGAGCGGATTTCAACAAGACATAAGGATTCACAGGCAGAGGCCTTCTTAAGTGGCATGCAATATGATGCTGTACTAAATTATTCATAGTTCACAGCTATTCCAGCAGCTTCGTAAGTCAGGACCTTATGGATAATTGCCCTCAATGAACAGCCACATTTGCGCAGGAATAAACCCATCTGTACTGCCCAAAACCAGGCATTCCTCAAACTGCAGTCCTCAAATTAGCCAAGTAAGTATAGCTTTGGTAAGGCAAAGAAAACTGGACAGAACTACCCGAATTAATTTTAAATTACCAAGGAATATGTGACAAGTCCATACAAAGACAAAAGTCCTGTCCTACACCTGAGCCTGTCTGTGTATGCTAACCTTGCAAACAGAAAAACAGTTTCGTTTGAACCCCCATCCTTGTGAAACCCGACTACACATTTTATAGAGAAATGAACCTATAGCCAGCCTTCTGAATCAGCATTTTTAAATGCACAACAATACATAAATCTGCTGATTTAAACATACTACAAAAAAAACCCATCAACATTAACATAAACCAAAACTGCCGCAGAGTATTTTAACTCATTCAACTTTAAAAGCAAGTGAAACACAGGTAAATGCAGTTAACTGCACAAGCTGTGCAGGATGAATTATGAAATGGCGAGTCCCCTGAGCCTCCTACACAGGAGAGCCTATGTGCAGCAATAAGAATATGCAACTGTGTAACTTCATGGCATCAATATTTAAATTATATACAATTAAAACAGGGTCAGAGTAACTGTCCTCTCCAATAATCACCATAATTTACTCACATTTTGTCTAGCAAGGTGTATTAAACTAACACAATAAAAGATCTTCAGGGGTTGGATACAAGAGTATTATGGCTGTATTTGCAACATACCTTGAATGTATTAAATCTATTCTGTACACACTGTGTTGATATCCTTAGTTTAAAAAAACTGACATTAAATTTCACTGTAATGACTTAGTATCGCTGAAGTTCAACACTGAAAAAAAACCCCAACCATCGCAACAATGGAAACAGTTTTGATGATTTCAATTTATGGTATTCTGAGTCTGAACACATCAAGATTAGTATTTCATATTCAACAACCCTATAGCTTCCTCTTTAAAAAAAATCCTTGTTCGATAACGTGCTTAGCAACTATGAAATGACACAGCTGTACGACAGACAGCACAGAATAAAATGACTGTGATGACAAACATAATAACCACACGCTTGGATACTGTACAGTCAGCAGGGCAGAAGATCTGTGCAGTTAGTAATGTATTAATCACATGAATTTCAAGAAGTTATTCCTGTGATGACTACACTCTGACTCCGGAGTTTCACACCTGAGGTTTCAGCAGTTAGAAGAGCAGCGCAACAAACAACAAAGCATAGTACTCAGAAGTAATTGCACAGGATGGTTACAACTCTTGAGCAGGTGCTTGTTTTTCTAAGTATTAAGACCTGAACGAAATTCTTCAGAAACAGCCTTCCCATATTCTGAGCTTTATTCACACACTTTTTCAGACAGTAGTAAGCCTTTGCTGCAAAATACCCACTATTATCTCTGCATAAATGCAGTATTAGAAAAGATGCAAACTAAACCTCACCTATTCATCAATATTAACATTGTATTTGCTCATTTTGTGGCAGGCTTCCATTAGCATTATCAACCAATTTTCTGTTCCCTACTTAAGTTAACAGCTTTACATGACTTATTTTTTACTGGGAATTTTCACGTGTGCACACTTCGGTTTGGAAAGCTGTAATTTGTATTAACAATACAAATGAGAATTTATGAAGCCAGCACAATCCCTGCAAGGTGCCTGAAGTACGTCTCAATTTAGACACTTAAGACACCCGTATTTCTCCTTTCTTTTTGCTCTCCCTCCCAAATGAAAATCAACCTACAACCTACTAGTAATACCTTCAACTTAAATTGGTAGTTTTGATAAGTTAGCTGGTACCACAAGGGACACCCAGGAACATGGAGCTTATTAGCTCCAGCCCTTCATAAAATTCATAGAATCTGCTCTCCAACCTCAATTTTGGCTTCAAAAACAGGGATGTCTAAGAAAAGACACCAAACACCCAGGGGAAAAAGCCCAAGGCTTGCACCTGATCACAAACCACA